ATACTAGCGCTTGATAAAAATAGAGTCGTTGGAAAAGTAAATACGAAAATAATATATTTTCTATATTTGCGGATTTTTAGTTGAGCAACTTGACTATTATGAATTTTTTGAAGATTGGATAAAATTAGTTTCAGGTGCGTTGGGTAATCGAGTTGTTGAAAACAAAAAAAAGCAAAAGAGAAAAATGTGACAAGTTGGAGTGACTTATAACTTACAAAAAAAAAAAAAACAAGCGAAAAGTGGAAACAAACTTAGACATTAAGATTAACATTATGCGACTTTAAGTTCTTTTTCGATAGATGATGAAAGTCCCGAACGCAGGGGGCTGAAAAGGTCATATAAATTACACCGGAAATTACTCTGCCACAAGCAGCAGCAGCTGCCCGAACACGGCCAAACACTCGCCTCCACTCCACTCCACTCCACCAACAGTCGCTAGTCGCTAGCCAATTTAGTGTGGCATTTAAGGAGCGTTAATGGAAATTTATGGCTTATTTGAATTAACTTTTCGTGGCAGGTGTAAACATGTGAAGCTGGCACGAAATTAAACAATACAACAAGTATAGCAAAGCGGAAAAGGCAAACGAAAAGAATAAACGAAAATGGAAATACCTTCAATTTCGTTACAAGTATTCCACACACAAAAAAAAAGGCCGACTAAAAGCATTGCTGAAGCTCTACGCTCAACTACGTTGGTACGAAACAGAAGAAGAATGTGGGAGTAGCAGTGGTACAAAAAAGGCGATTACTTTATCTAAATGTTGCTATTTTTAAGCCGAAAAGTGCTAAGTACTAAGTTGAGTATTTAAAATCTTCAAAAGTACTATTATCCATTAAAAGCTCATAACCTGTTGGATTTGCATAAAGCAAAGTTTAATTTCGTTGAGTGTGCGGCATCCGATTTCCGAGAATGTGCTTTGTTTTATCTTTTAATGAAAATGTGAATTGAGTTTAGTGGGCGAAAATGGGTGTTTAAGTGAAATCCTTTAAACACTTTGGCAACTTTTTAACTGAACTAAGTGAAAGTTAAATGTGTCTGTTAAATAATAAGGTAAGAGATCTTTGCTTTCCAACCTCTTCTTTAGGGTAAATGCAAAAACTTACACTGCTCTGTTCTGGCTTAAGATATCTTCAATAGTCCTACTGAATGACGAATTCACAATTCTTCTAAGATGCTTTTAAAGGTGAATTGAATACTGATAGAGAATTCGCTGCTATTATGGCTAGTTAAATAGCTAGTGGCTAAACTGTATCGGCGCTATTTAAAAGATATGTATACCCTATCGCTTAGCGGTGCCATTAACCAGAGATTCGAAGAAGCCCAACTGAAACCAAAGAATGTTAAAAGGGCTACAAATATACCAACAATTGTATCTGTTGTCAAGCACGCAGTGTTGATTGTTTAGATTCCCCATTCTGAACTTTCAGATATATTAAACAAAATCTCGTATCTTAAAGCTTCATTTAGATATACGCTCTTGCAACTCCTCTGAGTTTGTTACCGATTGATAAAAATTATCCAGAGGAGTCTATCTTTGAAGTCTCGACTTTCGAGTCGCAGTTTACAAAGTTTTCATGGATCACACGATTGGGTCTAGGCTTGCGAATCACCAAAGTATGTGCCAGCTTTTGTATGTAGTGCTCAAATATACCACAATTAGACAGACCATCTTGCGGTAAAGCCATTATTTATGTACATACTTTAAATTCAAACCCCTTGTTCGACAAAAGACTCTTCCAAAGAATGTTAAATATAAAAATGTCCCTATAAAAGCGAACTAATCAAGGCTCCGTCCAATACCTCCATTGGCGCAACTTTCGGGGTTAGCGCCCTTGGTGCTCACTAATATGAATACCCGAGGGGAGAAGATCACGTGGGTTAGCCCTGGACGACCTTGTAACTTATATAAATCGAAGTGGGAAGCCGAAAGCAGTACGCTATTGACGTTCAAGTAACACATCTGCAACGGGTGCATAATTTTCGCTGGTGTCCGAGTGTGGTGTTCGCTTGTGCTCAATTTGAAAACTCAAGTAAAGCTCCGGAGAAATATTAGTTAGACTTTGGGTACTTTGCGGCATGAAGATATTATGAAGAATCAACTGTTCATATATTAAACGAGCTACAAAGTAGTGTGTATAGAGGTATTAATATATTGTTAAATGTCAAAAGGATAAATACCTTTAATCTCCACTGGAAGCACGTACGTCTCCAGATACCCTTATAAAACTTTGTTAAAAGTACCTATTGCCAGGATGTCAAGACTAAAAACGTAACTGCAGTTTGATGGTATCAGGAGAACTATTTCAGATGCTTTTCTATTTAAGGTATAAGGGCAAGGATTTTTTCAATCGAATATCTTTGAAATACTGAAAGTAGGCGACTGGATATTCGGCGAAAAGCGGTGATTCCAAAAAAATATGCCTATGAGGCTACCTCATACATCTTCAAGTATTTTCCAGCAATGAAAGTTGAGTCTGAAATGGAACAAGCTTGAACTCATGTGGATATCGGTACACTGTGGTGTTAAGGAAGATTAGATTAGATTAGATTAGATTATATTTAGAGGATTGGGAGCAGATTACCTAGTTACCGCGACCGGAGCGATTTATTGTAACAAAGCCCTATTCGACTGCAGGTCTTCTTTGATAGATGTATTGCTAAGAAATATTGCTGGGTCCTTTGGCTGAATGCCATTTAGGTCGTGTGTTTTTATGTACGGTGATTCAAGGAAGCGAAGTCTGACCTCTGGTGTTTTACGTTCTTCGTTACACAACCCCTACTGGTCAGAATTAAAATCTCCGATGTCAGACAAGTGGAGAGTAAGAAACCCCATAGCGCTTCTTACTTCATGCTTACTGGGATGAAGGAGTTGTTCGGTTTTATTTGTTGTTGGAATGAACGTTTTGGTAACTACAGTATTGCCTCCAGTATAAGGGTAGTACAAAGCGAATTCTCATAGAAAATTCAGGCTGAGATCGTCCATTTTAAGGTCGCATGTGTAGATACTGGACGAGCTATTACATTGTCTTTCCCGCGAAAAATTACTATGACTTATTAACGGACCTTGAAAGTTTGGTTTCCCCCTCTTCTTAATCCTAATCTTAGAATCTAAAGTACCAACGGCAACTATTTATGTCTGAGTGTTTGAAAACCCGTTTTTAAGTCTCATAGCCCATTAAATAATCAATACTTTTTCGACTCTCCTGAAATCATTTGGCAAGCAAGCCAGCTTCTGTTGCATTTATTGCATAGAACGAAAAAAAAAATATTCAAACACTAAAGCTGAGAGCGTATGTGTGTTGTCCAAAATTTGTGTGCAATGGCAATCGCTAGCCGCTTGAGCTACATTCCGCCTCTTGAATTCCATCGAAGCAAAAGCTAAATCCACAAAGCTATCGTTCGGGGGTATTTTTATTCTAACGGTAGAGTGTATCGACAATATATTCAGCCGTCGTATAGGTGGTGTTAGCTTTTGCGAGTCAACAATGCAGAAAATGTTATAACGTTTAGGTATTGTGTGAATTTGTGAGTGTGCGAGCGTGTTTGTGCGAGGTCCATTTCACACATGAAATACTTGCACACATAAAGCGAACTGCTAAACGCACGGACCGGCGTTCAACACACAATAGATGATCTTCAAGCATATTTCGCTCTGCGCCATTTCACACTACCTTTGCTGGACTTTTCTGTGGCACTTCCTTTTACCTTCCACCCACATACTCTGGCTCTATACTTTTCTTATTCTTTTCGATTTTGCGCATTTATTTTTTGTTTCGGATTGCCCTGCAAGCGGCAGCAGCATTCTTGGAAGACCAAAGCCAATATGACCTAGAATTGCTTGGGCAGCAACTCTGCCATTTGACAGTGCTGCTTCAATAGCTACGCTGTAAGTTGTTGTACATGGCAGGCCATTATTGTAGCTTACCTGCTCTGCGTGCTGCGTGCCACAGTGTCTATGGTGTGCAATCTATGCCAGTCTTTTGCTTTGACCTTACAGTAGTGCGTGGAATTAACATGCGCATCACAGGTCGATGGACTTAATGGTAATTTCTTTTTTAAAGTATATTAAATTTTACTGAAAGTCATCTGAGCTAGTTATTTAGATGTGTCGTTTAGCAAGAAATTATTTCTTTTAATCAAGAAAGAAATGTGGACTGAATTTCTATCGATCCCAACGAGCAAGAAACTGAATGCCGAGAGACTAAGAAGAAACTGGAGTATAAACTTTGAGCAGTCGCTAAACCTGCTCCTTCATGTCGAATTCTCGGGTGTATCTAGAGCCCAGAATATTTTTACACATACATACTTAGGGGGAAGATCTGAGCTCACCGCTCTGCATACAAATTTTAATTCATACGGACTTTTATCTGTAAAAGTCATAAATAAAAATCAATCAGTGACTTCTAGCTCTAAAAGTAATCAATATAAATCAGTCCCCGGCTTTTATTTTTCAAATCATATAAAATTCATTTATATAAGTCGTAGTAAAATTTTGTTATCCATCACCTTCTTAACAGCGAAAAATGTTAATGACTTTTACTCGTATGACTTAAAAATAAAAGTCGGTTTCCGATCTATATTGATGACTTTTAAAAGTAAAAGTCACTAATTGATTTTTGTTGATGACGTTTATAAATAAAAGTTTTCAATAACTGTTATCTAAGAAATGTACATAATATAAAAATCAAAGATAATTGTTATTTTCAGATTATTTAGATATAAATTTAAAATAATAGTTATCTTGGATTTATAAAATAAAAATAATAATTAATTATTATTTTTTTAAATTCTGCATAAGAATTACAAAAAAAGAATTATTTTCAAATTTGATTTTGGATGAAAAAAAAATTGATTGGTATGTATCACTCAGTTGTATACCTTTTCCTTCGTAGCAAATTTTTCAATAACATGTTTTATCAATAACTGTTATGTTTGGTCCCTGCTTCTACATATATTTTAAATATATTAAAAAAAAACTTTTTTCTATCTTTGATTTTAGCGAAAACTGGTTGAAGCCGCAGCTAGATGCTAAGTTGCAGTGATATACCCGCGTTTTAAAAATTTAAACCACTGCGATATCTCCTTTGCGAAATTGTCTACAGGTAAGTGAAATTGCATATGTACATAGTATAATAACTTATTGATAAAGGTTAATTAAAAGTCCATTGACATACGAACACTTAGTGCATTTCACATCTTGTAATCTTAATACTAGCGAGGTTATGATTGGTGTTCTTCTTGCCAACCTCAAATAATCTACTGTATTAAACCGACGGTGTCCTTAACCTGCTTTAATGCAAATATGTGCCTATGAAATCCGATAATTTCGTCTTATTTTTGTGTTCCATTTCGCTTTTGAGTTTTAAAACAAACATTAGCTGCAGCGCAGACATTCAATGAGCTGTTAGACATCATTTCTATTTCCATTCCCCTCTAACTCGACTTATGAAAACTCAGATTTTATCTCCAATTTTGTCTGCTGCTGGTGACAGCTTCAGTTACTCCGCATTGCCAAGCGCAATCATTTTGAAAGTATTCAACTTTTATGACTGTAAGCGTCGATCAATCAACAACAATGTGCATCTCATGTTTTCGTTTTCATTTTTTTTACTACATATTCTTGTGATATCTTTTTATTTGTTTTTTTGCTCTCACTCTTCATTTATCGGATGGCCTTAAAATTGCGTTGTCTACCAGCAACTAAGCGCAATAAATGCTCAAATGCTATAAATACACGTGCGTGGCCCAAGTGCTCAGTCACATTACAAAAGATATCGCTCATACGCACTGGTGGCTGGCTGGCTGCATGACTTGAAACTTTCATAGAACTTTTTAAGTCGCAAACAAAAAAGCGATTAAAACTAGCATAAACATAAGCGTTTTAGTAGCGCAATGCTTTTATCGGTTCCGTTATACTTCTTTGGGTTGTTGTTGTTGTGGCACTGTGGAAAGTTACATATGTAAATGAGGCATAGCTTTATTGATGAGTATACTGCTGTTGACGATTATACATATGTTTGTATGGCTTTAAGCCATACGATTTATTGATTTCTTCGCCAGTATCTTTGTTATTGACGCCATTACAGGAACATTTATAGCTACAGACAGACTACCAAGGCGTGCTTGATATACTTCTTATATTGATGTAAACGCAATCTCGCGTTTCTAAAGTTTACGGTGAAAAAGATCATCACCATAATTCATAGAGTTACAACGCGATATGCGTCGAAGCTTCCTTAACGATTTGGCACTTTTCTATCATAGTTGCATATTCACGCTTTCATTAGGTCGTTCGACACTGGGGCCTATGTCACCGACACAATAAATTGGATCGCCCCGACCGGGGCCATTCGTTGGCTTTGTTTGCGTAACTGAAGTCTTTAGTCTGGCAACCAAAAAAACGCAGGGAACAAAACTGATACTCTGACTGTCACTGGTCACAATAGGGAAATTTGCCGGATCAATGCTCACTTGTTTATGCCCCGGCGCGCAGCTAATAGTTGGGCCGGTCCGCAGAACCATCGGGCCCCAGTGCCGGTGTTGTTGGCGCCCGATCAATTGGCGCCGGCCCGTTCATTCTAAAAACGAATTGGGCGCTAAAGCGATCACCACTACGCCGCTACAAACATTTATTTTTTTAACGTATTGTTTACTGTAATTGAAAAAAAATAATACAAATATTTATTTTAACACCATTTAATTTTTATAGCACAAATATTTCTTTAAATATGTATGTTTTTATTTAAATTGAAATAATAATATTAATTTATGCAAATAAAGTTCGAAACAGATATTGGCGTTGATTTTGTCATGTGAGCTGGAGCGAAGTCTTTTTGAAAGCATCGAAGTAGATCTTTGACTTATGGTTTTGTTTCAAAGCTTATGTAAATAACTGCCTGGTAAGTCTCTTATATACGGTGAGTCTCAATTCACGTCTTACCATATACTACATAGTGTTCTTGCTGGCCTTAATTTCCTGGGGTATGACTTTCTGCTTGAGAAACCGATTTCAGACGAACTCGACTCTCTACGGCTTTAATGGATTTTGGTGGTCTCACAGATATTCCTTGGTTGTCGCATCTATCAGACTCCTCCAATAATTGCACAGTACAATATATACAATTTCTGTTGATTTTCATTTGACACATATCGGAATTATTTCGCTTTTTTCGTTGCTGAATTCTTTCAGGCCAATAGCGACAACACGATAACCGAATGAACCCCATTCCATGGTTGAAAACAACTTACATAAACAACTTTAAACACGGGAACTTTAGGTAAATATCACTATCAAAATAGCCCTCTTACCTGAAGTGGGTGCGTTCACTGGTTGCTGAGAATCGGTGTCTTTAAGAGGGTGTACCAAAAAGTTGCCAATGCTTATTTAGTAAGTATATCGTTTGGATTGATTTTGATTTTTGGTTACTGTGCTAAAACTAGTTAAATACAAAGGCAGAATAAATTGAGAAAACTACAAGTACCACTTAAAGTTCTTTTCTGTAGCTTAAGTGGAAATAATTTTCGCATCAGCCTATAAGGCGTTCTTTCCTGGATAAATCCTCATCGACCTTGCTTCCAGAGATGTTTTTAGTAAAACTTTTTACTGATGCAGCTTAAGGCTTCAAATAGCTGCATACTTTGGCGATTTTCTGCGATACTACAAAGATTTTAAGACTGCCTAATGGTCTGATAAACTGATGCTGCAAATATTCTTCATTAATCTTTTATTCCAAGATGCTTATCTAAACACAAATTGATTGCTCAAGAGAGATTTTTCAAATACATATTTTCAAGAGGCACCCTAATGCGGAGTCCGTTTAACAACTTCTGTCGTAAAATGTTGTTAATGAGGGAGTGTAAAACTGATGGTGGATATAAATAAAGACGGCATATACAACAGAATGAGCCATTCTGAACTGAGTGATGTGTTTTACTAGAACAAAACCTAAATGAAAGATGTGCTCCAACAGAGTGAAGTGGTGCGCGTAAACAAGCGCAGGCGCGTCGCTTTTATATCCATAAAAGTAACTACATAAATCGCCATATATTAAGCTTGTGTTTTTCGCTGTCACTCATACTTTTTCAGCGAGCATATATCAGCGTTTTTACGACGTGATTCGCCTGAGGCCATCACTGACTATAACTTCTACCAACACACGCCGCCGAACATCTGCCTTTCATGATGGCAATGACACATTGCCTAAGCTAACATACATACATATTTACGTGCTGCAGGCAGGCAGTCAATCGGCCAAGCAGCTTAGATGAGGCAGCCAGGCAGCCAGGGAGGCTGACAAGCAACTAGATTGTTAAGCCGTAAAAAATATCTAAACGTAGCAGTAGAGCCAGGCTGTTGACGAGTCAAAGCGCTCCAACACGAACGCAAATCTCGCAACTCCATCACGCGACAGCAGCATTAATAGGTGGCGGCACAGCGTAGGCATCTCTAACTTGCGCACTCACGCTCCTCTCAGGCTCGAGGGCCCATCGCATGTGGGATGGTACAAGCGGATTAGCGGAGATTTTATGACATTTCGTTGTTTGGATTTCCGGCATCTAACTTGCTTCCATTCTAAATTCACTCATGTCAGCGCTCTCAGGAGTGCGATGGCATAAAATTTATTAGACGAAAACATGAAGAAGTTAATACTTTTTTTTGTAATATTTACTACAAGTAGGTATACATACGGTGACCATTCGTACCGATTTTGGCGGGTCAGTACCAATTTTAAGAAAATTGTTCCACTGAATATTTTTTTAAAGTCGGGACGTATAAGTATCCCGATTTTTCATTTTTGTACCGATTAAATCCCGATTTGCAGTGTTTTCTTTATTAATTTAACAAAAGTTTTCCTAGTACCCTCGCTATATTGCAGTCATCATTCTTATGAAATTTTTTAAAGGGTTTTATAATAATAATTATTTTTTTTTTTATGAAACGATTCTATAGTTTTTCCGACAACTAACGACGCTTGGTAAGGAAGGTTCGTTTTACCATCGTTTTTACATTTTCGATAGAACGTTCAGTTAGACATAATGAGATAAACTTATATAATCATATGCGGGCGGTATCACGCCCATTATCCGAAATTCCAAATAATTTAATTTTTGTCAAGTTATTTTTGTTAGTATTAGTTTTTGAGTAAATTAATGTCCTTAAATTTCGGAATATCGAAGTTTCAAGAATTTCTGAAATTTACCGTTATATGAAAAGTGGCCGTAATTTTAGTCCGATTTCAATAATTTTAAGCGATTTGCTTTTATGTGGCAAGCACAATAATCATACCAAGTTTGGTACATATTAGTTGAACGGTTACCAAGATACATATATGTGATCATAAGTGGGCGGTGCCACGCCCATTTTCCAAAATTTTATCATAAACGTATTTATAGCTAACAAGAGTTAACTTTGAATAAATTAGCCAACAACTGTGCTAAGTTTGGGAGAAATTGGTGGAGCGGTTACCAACATATATATATGTAATCATAAGTGGGCTATGCCTCTCTTCCAAAAATTTATAATACTCCTATTTTTTGCCTAAATATCATTGTAAATATCAATTTTGAGTGCACAAACTTCACTATTTACTAAAATATCGCAGTTTTCGTATATCTGAAAACTACCGTTATATGGGAGGTGGGCGTGGTTATTGTTCGATATTGCCCATTTTCATTACCATCCGTCCTACGAACGAAAGAAGTACACGTTCAAAGTTTCATTAAGATATCCCAATTTTACTCGTATACACAGACGGACGGACTAACAGACAGTCACCGTCTAATCGATTTTTCTTTTCATTGTGATCATTTATGTATCTATCTCGATTCGTTTCGCCTGTTATAAACAACCGTTATGTAAACAAAGTTATAATACTCTTGGGCACAAGTGCGCTCGGGTATAACAATACAAAAGGTTACTCTGGGCTTAACCTAACTTACGTAAGAAATCGTCAATGATTACTCAACACGTCAACTTAGTCAGAAGCGAAAATATTTGGTTGTTGTATTTTCCTTTTCAGCTAATTGTCAATTTGCCGCCTATAAGCCACACCAAAAAATTCCCGAACAAAGATATATTGCGTTGGCCAACATATTAGGTTAC